TTTACATGGTAAACAAGGACATGAGTAACCAGTGTGGTACAACTGGCATACTAGATGAAGTTTTGCAGAGGGTCTCCTACTCAAGGCTGCTGCCTGGTCTTTGAACAGGAACTGTAAGTCCAAGAGGACTGCTTACCACCTACCAAGAGCATATGGAACTAAACCCAGAGAAGGAGATAACACAATAACATCCCTCTCCCAACTCCCTTAGCTTGTCCAGAAAGATACCAAGCTTGATGATACTGAAAGCTGGTAAAATATCAAGGAAAGCCAGGATGGATCCACTACTTCCACTATATGCCATCCAATCATCAACACATATGCTGTCTCAGTATTATGATTTGACCAGAAACCAGACTAAAAGCGACGTAGATTATTCACTTCCTCTAAGATCCTTTGAAGCTGCAAGCCAATCACCTTTTTGACAACTTTCCCTAAAAAGAGAAAGTTGGAAACTGGATGACAGTCATCCAGTACTGTTGAATCCCGGGATAGTTTTTTTTTATTTTTATGGAAGAGACTGAAAGAACATTTTAGTTCATTCTAGTCTGTTTTCCTTCATTTTGTTGATTCACCCCTTCATATCTCTTCATTTTGTTGATTCACCCCTTCCAATTTTCTTTTTCTAACTCAGAAATGTCATATCAATGGTAATTTCTATTTTAAAAAAACTTGAACAAATGTCAAATATATTTATAATATGATTATATAAAAGTCACTGAAGCATTTATCAGCACATGGGCAAGTTAATGCTGTGTGGTGGACAGAAGAACGGATTTTATTCCTATCTGTATTCATCTACACATCTTCATGTATCCTGCATGAAATTCTAAAACACATTCTTCATCTGTTGGATACAACACTGTTGATGTAAATTGATTGCTATTTGTATACTGAAGAGAAAACTTCATTTATCTGACAAAGTGGACATAGATTCTAACAGCCTATGCCACAAGAAATTTGCTTTTTTGTACTACAAGATCTGCTAATTTTTAATTCAGGTGGTTTATATACATTATTCCATGTATTAATTCATTCAATTTCCCTAATGCCTTCTTATAAGACTTACAACAGTATACAAACAATAAAACATAGTATAATTTCATCATCATAAAACACAATGAAATCTGTTAATTCTTCCAGGTTTTTCTCCATTTGCCTCAGATGGCTCTATCCAATTACCAACCCTACCTGAAACTTACAAACTCATTTTGCTGTCCTTTGATATAATAGCCCACCCTTCGTTCCCTAAGAATATCTAGGTTATTTTGAATAGGGCTGCCAAGCAACAATCAGCAGCTAAAACCAGTCTAGAGACGTACATATCCTTCACCACCAGTTTTTCTGACACTTGGTAGGGTAGAATCAGCACTTAGTCAAATTCGGTTTTGATCTTGTGTCATTGCCACTCTATATCTTTTTACTCTCTTAATCTTCTGGAGTTCCTTAAGTGATCAGTGAAACCGTTCAGAATCAGTTTAAAAAAAGAGGCCTCAAAAGAGCAATTCTGTTCAATGCCTTGGTCATTTCTGTTTTCAACTACCGTGTTTCTCATATAATAAGGCCAAGTCTTATTTTTTTTTTGAGCCCCGAAAAAATGGCTAGGACATCTTTTCGGGGGTGAATTAATTTCTATCTCCCCCCCCCCCCCCCCGCCCTCACCTAGGGTGCCCCGCTGGCAGCTATGCCTCACCACCAGCCACTCCTAACAGCCAATCATGGTGGAGCACAGAGGGCTCCCTTACCCCCACCAAGGGCTGAAGACCCAGGTCAGCGGGAGGGCGGGGATGTCTGCCGGCAGCGTTTCAGCCGCTTCTCAGACCTCCGTAGCTTTCACGGTTCCCACTGGTGCTGGCGCCTCTCTCGCCAGCGCCGTCTCCCACAACAGCGTCTGAGTCGCTCCCGCTTTTCCCCTGTCCCCGTAACAGGAAAAAAAAACATTTTGAGGTACCTGGGAGTGCCGTGCGCTGCGTTTTGGTTTAATCCCGAGCGGCTGGGTGGGCGTGAAGAGAGCCGAGCGAGCGTCTCTGCTGTTGCTACCCTTGGTGCTCCAGCCTTGGGCAAGTTTGCAAAAGTCCCGGTGCGCAGCCCGTTCCTGCTTTCCAAGAGCCCAGGCCGAGCTGCAGCTGTCCCTTCCCCCCAATTTCACATGTTTTAAACTAGGCCTAAATTTGGGGGGAGGGGCTTAATTTCATTTTATGCCTAGAAAACATGCTGGGTCTTCCTACTGGGGGGGCGTATTGTTGGAGAAACACGGTAGTTTGTTTCACAGAATTGCCTACTAAATCATTGAGAAAATCCTAATCCCACTCAGGAAATCTGCAAGGTCCAGTAAGTGCCTGGAGTGGACAATCCTACCTGGATCTTTGTTTTATTCATTGGAAATTTAAAACATAACACCACTCTGTAGAATACACTTTTCACTTAATGACCATGTAGCCAGTCCCAACTCTGCCTGATAAACAAGGAGTATCTATTTTCCATGTATGAATGATTATATTATGGAACAATTGGGTTTCAAGTAGTTCATGCCTAAAGTGAAACACATTTGTTTTGGTCCATAGGATGGAGGAAAGGAGTTGCTTATTCCAGGCAACAGTGGATTTGGTGGTGTGGGGGGAAAAGAATGGGAAAAAGCCAAGCCCATTGGAACCAGCATCTAATTGGGAATGGGGGGCAGGGCAAAAAGAGAGAAGGGAAGCTGTTGAGAAGACAAGAGGGTAGACAGCCCAGTGAGATATGCTAATTGGGGCATTAGCTACAGCAACAGCAGTGGAAAAGAGACAGCTGTTAGTATTAGTACGAGAATACATAAATCTCACTTTTTTTGAAACATGAAAAATCCCAAATTAACAGAGGAAATATGTAGGAAAAGGGATGGCAGAACGAAAAGGGGCATCAGCCTGGAATTCCTATGTACCCTTAAGAGAATTAAGTCCAAAAAACCCCTTGAGTACAGTTGACTCTTATTTAACTCTAAGCAGGTGCTAACCATTAGTTGAAAAGATTTCTGTGCACAGGTTTTTAGCAATAAATCATTTTAATTGAACCTTCACGTGTGGACGTGGTCTTTCACGCCTGACACAACACTTCTTCATTTTTATAGGCCTAATCAAAAGTTAGTAGAACATATTCTTACTTATGAAACATGCCACATTTCATTTTTAAAAAATATTCATGATGAGAAGAACCTATGTATAGTAGCACTAGAAAAAGCAACACTTGGGGGAAAAACCTCTCCTTGGGAGAAAGTCCCAAAATTACCTATAATAATGCTCCTGACACAGGAAAAGTCAACACTGTAGAATAAAGTAAATATGCAACTCGCGATAGTTTCAACAACAGACAGATATCTATTACAACAATTTAATGTAGCAGCAGTGATATTAAAAAGTAGTTTTATTATTACAAGACACTGAAATGCTATAAGGCCTGTGGAACCATCTGAATATAGAAGAACAAGACAGAAAAATGTAGTGCGCTCTGCCTGCCATAACATTGCTATTTGGAACACACTATTATTAACTTATTATTAAAAACCGTACCTCGGGCCTTTTATATGTCTATCCTCCATGGGAAAAGGGGGAATTCTGAACTGTAAGCTGTCTCTATAATATAGTTAGCAATATCACAATTATGTTTTTACCCAGCCATAATCCTATCTTAAGCTGGTTTATTTTATCTTATCCAAAGCTCTGCAATACATTTAAGAGGAGCGGCCAGTACTGAACTCCTTCCTCTGACCTCCCATCTTAGAATATTTGGGAGGAGCTTTCAAACAACTGTATCTTTGCTGCTGTGGCTTGTTTTTTTTACATCCAAAGAGCATATTGAGCAATGGTTTGGGATGGGGGAAAGCCAGTGAAGAGTTTCATCTCCTTAACACATATTGGCCTTCTTCCTGAACAGCCTATTTTCTAACAACCAGACAGACACTAAAGAAATGGGTCTTAGGAGTCAAAACATATCATCAGACATTTGGGACAAATCAAGCAAATCACTTAACCACTAATCAACTTGGTGGTACTTAACCCTCCGCTTAGCATTATGTGTGAATATACCCCCGTTAGTGGAAATAAACTATAGTTTGAAGCAGGGGTGGGATTCAAATTTTTTAACAACTGGTTCTGTGGGCGTGGCTTAGGTGGTGGGTATGGCTTGATGGTCATGTGATTGGGTGGACATGGCTTGGTGGTCATGTTATTGGCTGGGTATGGCCAACTCAATATCATTCACATCGAGGCACGCATCTCCTCGCCTGGCCTCTCATGACTGTGGGGATGCTGCAACAGTCGTAAGTGTGAAAAATTGTCATAAGTCACTTTTTTCAGTGCCATTGTAACTTTGAATGGTCACTCCACACAAGCAAAGTACCAGCAAAGGAGGGGGGGAAAACTCCAGAGATGTTCCTGAGACAGGGAGAGGCAGTTTCTGTAAGCAACACCAGAACGTTTCCTTCCTGCCTTCCTTACAGGATTAGGCCAGTAATTTCTTCTAACAACCGGTTCTCCGAACTACTTAGAATGTTAACAACCGGTTCTAGCGAATAGGTGCGAACTGGTAGAATCCCACCCCTGGTTTGAAGTTACTTTGCTTCCAATATTCATAATTAAGTAATAGTTAGATCAAGTTGGGATTATTTAGCAAGCTGCAGTTTATTTAAACTGGAATTAAAAGCTTCTATCTCCTCTTTCTAGCTGCACTTAGGGTGGGGTAGGATACAATAACCCAAAGGTAGCCCAAAAATCATTGAGACTCATTATCACAGTATGACAGTTAGAATTACATCAAAACTAAAGTAATAATATATAAATATTACATTGGCCTCACTGAAGCTTTGTAGACAACTTGAACAAAAAATATGTTTATTATCTTCAAATTATGTTTCCTCATTCAATAGTTCAGTTACTTCAGAGAACACAACCTTCCCCTCTCTTTATGTTTATTGTTTTAATAAAAAAAATTTAAGTGTGGATTAAAAATGGAAAATTATATCATACCTGTAATAGGTACATATCCAACTCCTTGCTGATATACTGTTGGCATCAGGACCACTGGCTGGGGCTGCATCATCATAGCAGCTGGTAAAGACTGGATTTCAAATAGGAAATAATAGAATAATAAGAAAAAAGGTTTTTTAAAATATACGCTACAAAAAAGGCAGGCGGAAAGAAAAGTATTTACACAAACTCTCCAATTGAATCAGTTATTTTACTACACTTAATAACAATTTGAATCATGTAACAAGAATTTAGCGGGGCAAAAAAATTCAGGGAAATGCTCCTGAGCCTTTATTTTAAAGGAAAATATTATAACTTTTACACAGTTCAAATTAGTCTAACCAGTTTAGGAAAACTTAAAACAGATATTTAGGTATTATTTTAGGTATTATTTTACTACAGAATATAAAAGAAATAATGCAAAGTTTCTAAAATGATTCTAAAATGATTTCTGAAGAGCTGATTGATTGGCTGAAATTCTGCCAGTCCTGCTCTTTTGAGAACCATTATGTAAGAGTTTACAGAAAACAATACGCAATATTAGAAAAGCAAAATTTATTTCTTTGTATCCAGCCTTTATAATTTTTACAAATAGCTCAAGGTAGAAAACAATCCAACACCTCTCTCCTCTTATTTTCCACAGCAATTCTGTGAGGAGAGTTGGGCTAAGTGTGTGTGACTCACCCAAGGTCACCCAGTTGGCTTTCATGGCTAAAGCAGGACTAGAACTCATAGTGTCCTTACTAGCCTGATGCTTTAACCATTAGACCCAATTGGCTCTAATAACAGTTTCCACAATTAAAAATACATATTTTTATGTAGTTAGCAATTTTATAGAGATAAGTTTGATTTTTAAAACAAGGTGCTATAGGCAAAGAAAACTTCTGAGTCCCAAGAATACAAACAAATACAGAAAACTACAGAACTTTACTATCCCCTATCAATATCTGTCCTGTATTTTTCCTTAAGGCTTTTCAATTAATTCAAATTTTAGAAACTACTCTAAGAAGAATACAACAATATGCCTTAAAAATTATTTAAGTGATGTAAATGAAGTCATGTGCAACATTTGTGCATATGCAATTGAGAGCCATCTTTATTTTTAAAAAGTTTTAAAACTGTACTCATTTCCTATGTTTTCCATGATTTGTTTTGAAGAAAAACAACCAATGGTATTTCTTTATTTAGGAGTACTCTATAAACTTAGGAAAATGAAAGTTTAATGATGCAGTGAAAATTTGGAATGGAAACCATATAACAATAACATCTGACTAAGTCATCACTAGCTAGTAACAGTTTCTTTCTCCCTTACTGTCAATTTAACAATATTTTATGATCCAACTATTCCACTCCTAACTAAAGCCATTAGCTTAAGTTGCCTAGCTTACCGTGTAGGACATGACCAGGTTAATCATTCCTTCTTTGTCATCTCCCTGCCTTCCGCTCAGGCTATACCATTCATCTTCAACTTTTCCTTGTTTCAGTGACTCAGGAATAGTAATATGGGTCCAAGCAATGCGATCATCTATTGAAAAAGCTCTCTGAAAAATAGATGAAAATGAAATACATGAAGAAATATATTCCAAAAGATGATTTTCCTAAATGCTAGATTAGATGAGGTAACATAAAATTGCAATCCTTTTTTTCAGAAGCAGGTTAGTTTATTCTCTGGTAAGAAGTCAAGTCAATTCAGAGAGAGAAATATTACCATATATACTCACAGATAAACCCAGAATTTTAGGTGCCAAAATATACACCCAAAAATTGAGTTCAGCTTACCTGTTGATGGACTTATCCATATGGTAATACTTTTTAAAGTACTCATATATTTCATATGTATCTGCATATAAGTCTACCTGCTGCTAAGAAGAGCCCTGAATTTTTAACCAAAAGCCATGAAATTATCTATAGGTGCTTCATTTTTTGTGGTATTTTGGTTAAAAAAAGTGAGGGTCAGCTTACCTGCAGATTTAAACCCAGACCACATAAATCACATTGATTGAATTCCTGCTTTAATATGCCCAGCTATATGTACTTTCCAGATACCCTCAAGCATTAGCATGATTATATGAAAAATATTCCATTGCTGAATGCATGTAAAAGGTTAGATGTATTTGAGAAGCAAGCTTCAAAAGAGATAAAAATTTCTACTTTTGCTCATATATGTGCAAACAAATATACAAATAAGGCTTCTGTTATTTTATTTTTAATCTCTATGGAAGATAAGCATATTATAAATGAAGTTGCTGTGAATTTTAGTCTCTGTGGATAAGATCTGCAACAATCTTCACTTAGCCCTTCAGGAGAAGTAAGAGGAAATTTGAGACACTTCCAATCTCTAAATTGTTACTTAGTTTTCTATAGCCAGATAAACCTACATTGTTCTTCCCGGTATTAATGTTGATTTTTCAAAGGAAGCTGATGTAGAATACAATAACTGACAAGAGAAAAAAATCATCAATCTTAAAAAGAGACGTTTTTTTACCATAATAAATCACCTAGTTTCATAAAGTCATCCTAGTATTGCACATTTCCCCCCCTTTCAATTGTGTCTCATTCTTGGAGATTCCATGGAAAAGTCTGCCATTTCTTGGCAAAGTTTTTCAGAAGTGGTTTGCTTCCACTTCTTGACTGGCCCAAGGTCACCTAGCTGACTTTGTGTCTAAGGTAGAACTAGAAATCATGGTCTCCTGGTTTCTAGCTTGATGTCTTAACCACTACACCAAACTAATTCTTTAGGACATGTTTTGGAATGTTATTTTTCTTCAGATATAGCAAAGCAGAGCGGTGTATATTTTACAGTACAGATTTGAGTGAAGAAAAATTGAAGTTATCACAAACTGCACAGAATAGGTTTTTATTTGTGCAGTGATATTAGATATGTCTGCAGAAAATTGTATTTGTAAGTCAGTTGCCCAAAATAATAATACAATTATCATCGCTCATATTTTAATTTCTGTTAGTTTGGAATTATAGCTTTGGAAATTGCAGTTACATAAACTATCATTTTTGTAACAGCACAAGAATTCAACAGTATGGTTGGTTTTATAGTAGTTTCCTTCTGAATCGATTCTCAGTCATCCAGCTCATAGTTGTCCCAAAGGTCCTTTTTCAAGAGGCAGCTGGACTTTCTGGTTTTTCTTTGAAGACATTTAGCTTCTCATCCAAGAAGCGAAATGAAAAGAGAAACATCTTCAAAAAAAAAAAAAAAAACAGAAAGTCCAGTTGCCTCTTGGAAAACCTTTGTACTTCATTAATGGTTAAAAAAAGTCAGTAACTTTAGGCTGGATGGAACCTAACATGTGAAGAAAGTTTTTGAAAAAAGTACCATGAAATGATGATCAACCTGTAGAAATAAATAATTGTCTCAGCTTACTAGATCCGAAGACTTGATAATACAAGTTTTAGGGAAATATTGCATAAATTAGTCACTATATAATCACTTGAAAGAATTGAATTTATCAGACTTGGACTAATCCTATACCAAAGAGTAGGACCTGAATACACAGTGAGAGAATATATATGAAAACAACATTTGTAGGATAATCCCAAGAAAATTATAATAGTAATTTCCCTGATGTTCCTCCAAACCATCAACTACATTCTGCTCTGTGGTATCCTGCTGATACACCTACAGTGTGGAGCTTCTGTTAACTGCTGACCAATTATTTAAGCAACACAAGTGGGAGGGCTGCAAGTATAGATATGAAAAGTAGCAGAGTTGAAACTGGTGGTGGAGAGGCTACAAAGAACTTATCAGTCCAGGCCATGTTGAAAACAATACAAATTCATTAATTAATTCATTTATCAATCACAAGCTTTTATCCTTCTTGAACAAATAGATTACAATTCTTGGAACCTGCTGATCAAATCAGCTGAACCAACACGGATTTACTACAACGAATATGATTATTTCACAAATGACTTGAAAAATACCAGAAATTACTTTGATAAAAGTATGTACATATGTACTTTGATCCAATCTGGAATGGCAAGGCATTGTGAAAGTAGTTAAAACACCACCACCATCCTTTTCAATCTTACCTCATCAAATATTTCAAGATAGAAAGAATCCACCCCAGGAGGAACAGTGCACTGAATAACTTTGTTCCATCGAGGATTTTTGGCTCCATTATGAGCAGTGGGCGTTTCATAGACGGCATAACCAAGTCGTATTCTGCAGTATGGATCCATGCGCGTCATGCCATAGTTTTTTGCCAATTTTGCCTACAAGAAAAAAAAAAACACACACACACACACACTATAAAAGAAATGAATTTTAAATTCTTTCTATTATACAAATTACCAGGCTAAAACATCTACATAATTCTATCCTATTAGAATTACAATATTCTATTCAAGTCTAATTCAGTCCAAGTCAACATATGATTCTCTCAACCATGTAAAAAGCTCAATTACATAAATACTGCAATATTAAACAGATCAACCCAAAAAAGTTGTTTTCTACAAAGCTTAAATAAAATCAAGGCCATTCTTCCATAGCACTCTGAACTGTATACAATATCTTCAAAGGGGAATATGTTTACATATGGTATATGGTGATTGCCAATTACAAAATTCAGAGAAATATAAACAAATATTACAAAGAAATTACCTGGCTGAACATAATGGCCAGCAGAAAATTATACCCCAAACAATTACAAAAGACATATCTTATCAGAAAAGTTCAAAACCAAATGATAAAACTACTTTCTCCTAGAAAATATTCACTATTTTTTCCTAAAATCAGGTTGAAATATCATGATAGTCACCAGCAGACTATTCCTCTGTAAAAAAAACAAACCCTGAATTTAAAATAATCCTTTCAAAAACACAGAGACATTTGATTAATGTAGAACCAAGCCCTGAAGGAATTTATAGGTAAAAATTAGAAACTTGAATTGGAATTAGAAATGAAGTGGGAGCTAGTGAAGATAGCAAAGAAAGCTGCAATGTATGTTTGTATCACTCAGTTCCAGTTTTGCCACCATAGTATTTTATATTAAATGAATTTTGCAAACCTTCTTCAAGGAAAACTGCATTTATAATATACTGCTGTAATCGAAACAAAATTTATCAGACTATCAAACAAGGCTACTTCCATCCAAGCAGAGGTACAATCTAAGCTGGAGAAAGATGCTTTATGTCACAAAGACCTTGTGACTCTTCTATCAAAGATGGATTCAGGAATGCCACACACGGGAGAAGGCGGAGCCACGTCGCCGCGTTACAGCTGTAATTTCGGGGCTCCGAAGTTACAGCTGATATCTTCGCCCCTGGTCGGTCCCAACGGACCTAAACCGTCCCGTAGAGACGGTGATAGTAAGGGGCGCGTTCTGTTGATCACAGGGACACCGCAAGTCCCTGGTGGATCCAGAAGAAGCCCCTTTACCATCGGCGGAGAGGCAGCCATTAAGCTGCTGAAGCAGGGACAGCTCCGAAAGGAAGAGAAGAAAGAAAGAGAAAGTGTATCGGCTGGTGAGATTTATTTATTTTTATTTGGGATAAGGACACCCTAGAAGAAGAAGGAATCTGTAAGATTTTTGACAGAATTTGATAAGATGGACTTAGTGGCGATTTTTTAGGAGATGTCAAAATGAGGCTTGGCTTTTTACTTTTTTTTTCTAGCGAACTTCTATTGTGATTAGTAATTGTAACC